AATAAAGAAAAAATAAAATAAAAACTTTCACCTTAACCAGTGAATTAAAGTATGCATTACTATTCTTTTAATATATAATTGGTATATTATTTTCCATGAAATAGAATAAAGATAATATTTCATGTGCTAAAAAGAACTTAAAAATATAGAAAATCTATTTAACTTTTAAGAGAAATGGAGAGAGAGATGTTTCTCTCCTCCCCACATCCCAAATCCACAATATTATTCTATCTTGTTTCTCTATGTTATCTATGCCTTTTTCAACCTTGTCATTGGTAGTTTACTAAGACATCCTAGTTTTTATTGGCTTATATTTATTCATTTTAAAATCAGACCTCAGGAGTATCCTGATCAAATTTCAAGGACAATAAATGAATTGGACATCACTGCAATTCAATTATAACCACAAAGATTGACTGAGGACTCCTACAAACTAAATATTTCAGGGTTATGGGGGAAAGAGAAAACTTTTTGTCCCTGTTCTGAACAGACAGTCCTGCGAGAATTATTAGTCAAATGCCCAGTGCATGCAGGAAAAAGGTTAGTGCCATAAGAGGTATGAAAATGGAGAGATCTCACGGACTTAAATAGTAGCATACTTCAAAGGAATGAGGACTTGAACTATACATAACAAAACGTGCAGTATTGGATAGAAAGAAGAACAGAGATAACTAAGGGCATCCTCCTGATGGGGAGAGTAGCATCATGGAAGAACACACGAGCATGACATGTCCTGGGGACAATGTGATTTACTTGACTGATGGAGAGCTTGAGGCAGCCAGCAGTGGGAAATACAGCTAAATGATATGAGTGGAGTAATAAGAAAGAAGATGCACCAATTTGAAGCAAGACTAATAATTTAATTAAGCACTGAAATCTGCTAAAAATTAGAAGTTGGAGGCATCACAGTCAAATAAAAATAAATTCTCTAATCCAATAGTGATTTACCCATTCCTCTCTTCAGCTTATTACCATTAATCTAAAGAATAGGATGTATCCAGAAAAGACTTGGGGAATTTTTCATTAAATTTTCACATAATATATTGTTTCATACTTGAAAATGAAGGTAAAATATATGCATTTAACAAATATAGAAAAGATGCAAAACAAAAGTGCTATACTTTTAAAGAGTTGTTTGTTTAATAATGTTTTAACAGACTACAATAAAGACATTTCTTGTAAAACATTATTATTCAAATCTAGTTTCTAGAAAATATAATTCGTTGTTTAAAGAGGTTTGAGTAAAGCAAGAGAAATATATTGGATTAGTGATAAAATCTATTTTCCAAAGATTAGAAGTAAATTATGTTGCCATAATTTTTATTACAAATTATTCCTAAAAACAGAAAAGAATAAGCAAAGGAATTTAACCAAATAAATAAAAGTAATCTTTTTAAGTAGGAGTATAACTCTTCATATAGGAGTATAACTGCGGAGACCACTGAAGAATGTGGTGTGTCCTATTTCTTACATACCTTGTTGCAGAAACAATCGATTCTATTCTCAGTTTCTTTTTTTGTTTGTTTGTTTGTTTGTTTGGTTTTTTTTTTCAGTTGGAGTCTCACTCAGTCGCCCAGACTGGAGTGCAGTGGCCGCTCCCGGCCACCGCAGCCTCGACCTGCTGGGCTCCTGCGATCCTTCCGCCTCAGCCTTCTGAGTAGCCGGAATTACAGGCACGTGCTACCACGCCCGGCTAATTTTCTGATTTATTGTAGAGATGAGGTCTCGCCTGCCCAGGCGGGTCTCGAACCCGCGGGCTCAGGCAATCCACTCACCTCAGCCTCCCAAAGGCGCGGGATTACAGGCTGAGCCACCAAGCCCGGCTTATTCTCAGTTTCTTAGGAACTGGCTAAGACAAACTTAAAATAACAAAAGAAGATCCTATTGCATAGTTCAATGCCTATATGCATTCAATAAAAATTTGAAAAACAAAGTCCAAGATGATGATAGCTGAAATTAGTAGATGAACCTGCCTGCATCTTTGTTAGTTCTCATGCTAGTTTTTTGTTGTTGTTGTTTGTTTTAATTATTTTGCTCTGTTGGCTTTTTTAGTTCATATATATACAAAAACTGAACTGAGTGAAGGCAACAGGACTAGTGATATGAAATAATAGTAATGACTAGACAAAATATTATTAAAAACACACCATAAATACTATTTAGGAAAAATAAAATATTTCCTCATATTTGGTATGAATACTTTTTAAGTCTTCCTTTTAATCAGGAGACTGGTATAAGATGATAAATGAAAGATGATCTTGCTTGTCTAACAAAATGGTGATAGATGATACAAATATGGATATAGATAAAAATATCTATAAATATTCTTTTTTTTTTTTTGAGTTGGAGTCTCACTCTGTCATCCAGACCAAGTAGCTGGAACTACAGGCGCACGCTACCATGCCCGGCTAACTTTTTGATTTATTGTAGAGATGCGGTCTTGCCAAATTGCCCAGGCAGGTCTCAAACCCTCGGGCTCAGGCAATCCACTCACCTCAGCCTCTCAAAGGCACGGGATTACAGGCTGAGCCACCGAGCCCGACTACCTATAAATATTCTTTGAAATAACTCACTATGAAAATATTGAAACTCAGCAAGAAACAAGGCTGAGTTAACCCAAGGTTCTTCAGCGCTAAAAAGTGAATGTCATTTTGTGGGTTCATTTCTTTTCATGCTGAGAAATCAATTGAGATATTGATGGCTTCTACAGATGTGCTTTTTTAAAAGATAACTGTTTTTACTACCTACACTTGCTTGATTTACAAACAATTTTTAGAATTTTGCTTCTAATAGTCAGAAGCCCAGTAAGATAAAAAAAAATAGTGGATGTTACATCATATGTCTCACCCCACATATGTAGCAGATGTGCAATGCACCTCTCTTGGCCGACTGTTCTGCCACATCCTCATTTGGCCCATAAATAATACTTGGAGAGACACAGTATAAGCAGTTATGCCTATAAAGATTACCCTTGCCCTGATGATTCACAGCCAAATCTTTATTAACTAGGGGTTGCCAGTTCTCCCTGAGAACCACTTTTCTTGCTCTACATAGAGATGTGATCAAAACAAGGTGCAAAAATCCACCTCTTCACATAGCAATCGATTCACAAGCTCTTGTGATTTTATTTCAAGTTATTCATAAGTAATGTCAGGAAAAACATTTAAATAATCAATTATTTCTTTATTGCATGCAGAGATATACACAAATGAGTATTTCAAATCTTTTGAAACTTTTTTGTCACATTACAAATGTAAATAAGAAGGTTTGGTAAGTTAATGTTACCAAAAGTCATATAAAAGACATAAAAGAAGTTACATAAGTTACATTATTCTTTTAAGGGAATAAGTCCAGTTTGGGCACCTGTGTTCATAAAGCAATACAGTGTTCTTTACAATAATGAGATATGGCATATTGACTAAAACTCTTAAAGGTAGAATTTAAAAACCAAGCTGTTAAGAACTGAGAAAATGCTAACCTTAACTCCATTGTAATTTAGACCTGTCAACAAAATTATCAGGATAGTAATTTTAGAGATAATTTTTAGGTACTGCTTATAGTATTCCTCTTGTATTTAATGAAATTGTGCTTTCTCAAACAATCAAATATTTGCCCTAAGTTCTACTTCAGGATGTTTGTATTTGGTCAACTAAAAAGTTGAAGTCAAGAGTTCACTTTCAATGGGACTTGAAAGTAGTATGCAATTAGGGGATTTGGAAATAGTTGTGTACCTAATAAAAATTGAAGAAATCAGTTACTACCAGGTAGAAGTCAGCAGAAATATTTCATTCTTATTTTGTCTTCCCACAAATGCATATTTCTTAGCTGTGTGGGATGACATATACAATTTTTACTCATTGGATTTGTCTTTACAGATTAATTTTTCTCTCTGAAGATCAATGCTAGATAATCTCCCAATAGTTTCAGTGTTTGTCAGATTTGGTTTATGAATGCCCTCACTTTGTAGGTATAAAGAAGGTAGGTTTTATGGAAGAAGTTGCTATGGAAAAGGAATTATTCAAAGACGCTACCTCTGTGTGATTTTTTTTCCTTTTGTCACCAAGTCCTGTGCCTAGGACTAGCAATGTACAGTATCAGAGGAACAGAGCACAGAATTTTATATATAGTAATCATTCAATAATACTTGCTGAAATAAATTATATATGAATTCTTGCATTACTCCTACTTAACTAAAATGATTCGCTTCATTATTTTACACATTTAACTATAGATAAAAACAATAGGCAAAGTCACAGCTATTCTCAGTATTCATTTCTTCTTCAGTAGATTTCCACATAGATCTTCTTGCCTACTTAAAATTTTGAGTTGTCATCTATAAACTTGGTAGTCATATAATAAATATCACCAACGACTAGTTCTTTGTACTCTAAATGCATCTTGGGCAATAATTCATTATCTTATCATGAGAAAAGATCAAACATTGTTTGAAGACAAACACATAGAACAAATAATCCATTTGGAAATTTTATATTATCTTTTAATACCTTATGCTTTATAGGTACAAATTTATTCTGAAGCAATACTTGTGGAGCTTTTAATTTACATTTTCAACTCTGAAGAGTTGACATTGGAATAGTGCAGCTGTATTACAGCCTCCCTTTACAAGAGAAAAACACTGTTTAAAGACAGGCCACCCACAAAATTTTTTGGAATTGAAAGGTAATCTCCCAATTGTTATACTCTTTGTCAAATTTGGCTTATGAATGCCCTAACTTTGTAGTATTAAGACAGTATAAAGCGCGCGCGCGTGTGTGTGTGTGTGTGTGTGTGTGTGTGTCCACACATAAATTATTATTCAAGTGAACAGAATGTGTCTCTTTAGTACCAGTTTATGCATTTCAATATACATGGGTGTTTTCTTAAAAATATGAAATAAAAGTTGAAATATTTGATCTAGCAATATGTGCTGATAAATAATTCAGTGGTAAATGCACATTTCATGGTTAATACTAAAAGATCAACAAAAAAAAATTCTGCCATTGTCCATGTTTTATCTGTTTTTTAAAACCGTAGGGGGAAATATACTCTCAGGGAAGAAAAAAAAATGAAGCTTTACTGCAAAAGAAATGAGGACGAGAAATAGCACTTTAAGTAGTGAAGAGATGTGAAGCATTGCAACTTCATAGCCTGCTAAGGAGCAACAGCTGTACCTAATTTCAACTTGACGTGCTTCAGATCTCATATTCATATAGGTATTTAATGATCCAAACATAATGGTCCTATATAGAATAATTACTTATATGAAGGAGCAAACTTCATATGCATTCCTTTTTAAATGATCCTTCAAGAGAAAAACTGCACTGGATCTTTGAACAATGAATAGTCTCTTTCACCAATCCAAATGTTTGGGGCTAAATAGCTTATCTGTTAGGAGAGAATAATAATAGTGCTGAGGTTACTTCTTTTTGACGGACTCTTTTTGTCTACCCCCTTCCCAAGACAGCCAGTACAAAGACAAAAGGTAGAACGCCAAGCCAACCATTAAGTCGTAATAGTAGATAGTTACAAGAAATATCAGAAACAAAAGGAAATAGGGTGTTTTTGAGTTGGCATACTTTGAAAATAAAGATTCATTGCTTTGAGCTTGACTTTCCTGGACAGGGAGACTGGCAGAAGCAGAGTCCTCAGATTCCTTACCTTCTGAAGAGCATAGCAATTGTCCAGAGTTTATTAATCCTTCACTTTCATGCTTAGCTTCTTCCAGGTTCTCAAAAGATTCACTGATTAAAACTGTTGGCCCTAGAGACTTTTCCCCACTGCATTCTCCTGACTGGAAAATCTGGCCTATACATCTTTCTTTCCTACTACCTGATGTCACTATGCCTGGACTTTTGGAAACTTCTTCAGGTTTAGATCCAGAATGAGGGTGCTTCTCAATACCCTGGATCTCTCTTGTTGGATTACAATTATTTTCTGATTTAGCAGCAATAGATTGGAGAGTCATGGTAGTAATTGTATTCTCCACAGCAATTGGCTGTTTATAAGATGACACTGAAGTTTTAGTACAGCGTTTGGAAATGTGAGAGCTATTCTGAGAAGCTCGATTAGTGTCTGAGTTAAAGGCAGAATGCACAATGGCATCTAAGTCCATTTTGTTTGATTCTGGAACCCGTTCACGATCTCTGTTTTCTGAAAATATTTTTTTGTCTGGTGGTAACATTCTCAAATGTAAATCCAGCTTTGAAGTTGCTTCATGATTTTCTGCAATATCCTGGGAGGATTCTTCTACAGATGTTATGTTTCCAATGCCATGTTTCTCCCTGTCATGTGTCTTCCCAGGGTTATACATAGACATGGTTTCTTTCTTCTCCATTTCATCTATACATATATTACAAATACCTAAACGTGATTCCTTTTCAAAATCATTGTCATAGATTACACCTACTGTGTCTCGTTGACAAAGGGTATAATATGAATCATCATTTCTCCCTTCATGTGGATCAAACGCTGTTTCCTTTACCTCGATGGGCCTGTCACTTCGTGCTGTCTCTTGAGGTAACTTAGCAATTATTGCTTTTTCTCTAGCAGACATGCTTTCTGGAGTACTTTCTGATGTTGTCTTAATTATATAAGCTGTACCTGCCTCTGCTTTCTCGGTAATACCATGATCAGCTAAAGAAGACAGTTCAGAGCACACTGTTTCTTGGCAGGTAAACAATTCTGTAGTAGCTTTCAAACTCCTTGTATTATCTCTTTTTCCCCACATGTCTCCACAATCTGCTTTTCCTTTGATCTGCTCTGTTATATTTGTCTTACTCCTTCTTGCTTTTCCCTGACTTTCCAGAACATTCCAACTTAGTTTATGCTGTGGGTTCTTATCCTGATCATCAGGATTAACCCATCCTGATTTTTCTTCTTCAACTTGGAAAAGATAATCATTCCTCAAAACATTTCGATTTTTTGATGAACAAACTTGACTAGCTAACCCTCCTGAACTGATGCCTTCTCTAGTCAAATGATCACACTCTGGGGTTAATACAGCTTCTTCCCAACTTAAATTTGTCCTTGGCAAATGAGATGTATCTGCTGTGGGAACAACCCAGGTGGGAACTGTGGTGTCTTTGCTCAGCAGAGCAGTTAGGTCTCTGTTTCTATCTCCAATTCCTTCCATGCTTATTTCAGGGTGGCCCATCTTCCTTTCTTGGTCATGTAAGATTGATTGAAAATGTTTGCTTTGTTTTTCATTAGCATCTGCGTATATTCTTTGTTCCTTATCATCCTTACTGTTGCCATAATCTTCCTCAGATAATTCCTTTTTTGTTGATTCTTTGAAATGTGCAGATTCATCTGGATGGAAATCTCTTAAACGTTCCCAATCTTTTATTTCAGTTTTTTTAGCTCTTCCTTCATGTTTTTTATGAAGGTTGCCTGCCATTAGTTGATCTGAGGAGGAGCAAGATATTTGCACTCTGCCACTACCATTGCTTGGGTTAGCATTATCATCCGGGACTTCTTTGCTGCCAATGTGTAATTGCACTGATTCACCACTACTAGTTCCTCCCAAAGATGACTGGATTTCGTCCATATCTGAAGTAATTTTCTCTGAAGTTTGAAGACTATGATCATCTCTTAAGGAATATTTTTCACTGCAGTAAAAATCTCCCTTTAAGGAACTTTCTGCTGATGAACTTGGAGACAAAGACCTTTGGAACAAGTCAGTGCGTATTTCACCATGGATTTGCATCTTCTTTAACCCCTCTGCTGTATTTGGAAAATTGTCTGAATCTGTTGAAAATGTGTTCCTTTCATCTCTGGAAGCCGTACTTCTCATTCTTATTAAGTGTTGATTTATCTTATGGGATAAGAACAACAACAACAAAAATAATGACCATGTGCACTTTTTAAATCTACAAAGTGAATAAGATAGATTTTTATTAACTCAGCTAGTAATTATCTGGTAGATTTCTTTGACTTATTTCATTTGTGGATTTCGTACTAACTCTGGAAGCCGGATGTTTTGGGAGATCCTTGTAGGCTATGACTCGGGAATAAGATTAGTAAGAAAAGGGCCCCAAATTAATCACTCTCCTTCCCAGCTTCCAAATATCACATTGTATTATTCAACTATTCTCGCTTGTCATTGCACTTTCTCCTCACTTTGGATATACACATTGATAGCTCCATGCTAATCAATTAGAGAGCAGCTTCCTGGGTGCCCCTTGCTGCATTTACACTTGCTGTAGGTGCCCCCATTACAGTTTCTCTTATTAATATGTTTTCTGCAAAGCCTCTGCAAACTATTAATAGCAAAACGTCACTCAAAGAAAAGTGAGGGAGTTAATGTCTCTGCAAATTCTGTTTTAATGACCCTCTGCCAACTGGTACTCAAATGTATTTGAGCTCTTCAGTGATGCCAACTGTCAGGATTTAACAGTGAGATGCCTGTGTGTTTTTTTTTTCCTCCTCATAACTGACATTTGCATGATCTCAATAATTATATGCAAATCTTACGTTTTCCCCTTCTTCTCACATAAGGCTCATGTTACTTGTCAACTGCACAGCTGTCTTGTAAGCCAATGCCTGTGGGTTCCACAGATTTGGTTGTATTTCCATCTATTATAGAGTTTCATTGTTTTATGCATTAACGTCAGCATGGAGCAAATTAGCATCTAAATTACAGTTCCCTGTTCATTTATTGGACGTACAATCTCAGTAACTTCTAAACAAACTTTTACATTTGAGCCTGCTCATTGTAATGAGATGTATTGGTGAAGTATGTGATTTTTCAGGGCCCTTTCATTATATTCTGTGGTTTGAAAAAAAATGGCGATGTTAACTTTCAGCTGGTGAGAATTCTCACAATGGGTGACAACTTTGTAGTTTCTTAAAGTTGGAGCAAAGTAAATTGCATACTTTAGTGATGCAGTTCCTATATCACTACAGAAAGGGTGGAATATGTGGGGAAAGAGATGAGCTCTATTTCTTTTTTGTTTCAGCACTGACACTTGAAGAGGCAAATGTCATTTTAATCTTAGATGATTATGAATCCATGTATCCCAATGATATGAACTTCAACCAAATACAGTAAGGAATAAATTGCATTATGTGACTCGTTTACTCCCATTTCTTCCATTGTGATAAAAGTGCTATCTAAACCATCTCCCCACTTCCAAATAGGTTGAATACTCACCAAGTGTGAAATGTATGATAACAAATTTAATACTAAATTGTGTACTACTGAATTTGTTTCCTGCTTAAAAATTATGGCACAGGCTATTTTCTTCTCACTTGGTAATTTAACACTCTACAACGATATAGAACTTGGAGATTCTCACAAGGATGGAAGTAAAACAAAAAATCTACTAAATGCAAGAATCATATACTTGTAGAGTTGGACAGGACCCTAGCAATCACTGGTCCAGTCTTCTCATTTTACAGGCGAGTTTATGCTAAGTGTACACTTGTCACAAAGATTAGAAATGCACATCAGGATAGTACTACCTCTCCTATAATTCCAAACTATTACCCAGAGCCTCTGGTAAAGAGATAAGAAATAAATGTCATTAATTTACCACTGCATAGACCAGAAGCAATACACTGAAATCAAAGTGCCTTGTTGATCAAGCTAAAGATGCAAGGACAGAATAGGCTGTGCTTTCACATTTGCAAATTATATTAGTTGAAGCTATTGAAAGGCAGGCATTGCAGCATCTTTAAAGCATAAATGGATTCATCTTCCTCAATACCGTGGCAACCAGAACACTTACCATCAACTCTAATTCGTTTTCATTATGTTCATCATGTGCCCTGTTTACATCTTTTACATTTTGATTACTGGTTTCCAAGTCTTCCTTGTCCTCATGAGAACAAACGATTGTTGGAATATAAGTATCTGAAAAGTTAATAAAATTGTACCTATATAAAATTGTTTTAATTGTAGGCTTTAACAAAAGAGACAAATTCGCTTTAAAAATTATATAAAAATATTACCTGTCATCTTTGGATTCTCAAAGTTATTCTCTTCTGATGTTATTGCTGATTCTTCTTTACTGTTAAATTTAAAACAAAATGTTATGGATTTTTCTGGGGCTATATCTTCTAAGTATTTTTATATAGGAGGAAATTCAAAGCAAAAACAAGTCAAATAAACATTACATTATCTTTCATATGTTCTTGTATTACTTTGTATATTTTTAAATAAAATTGTTCTTTTAGAATGATGCAATTGCTGTAGAAATATTTAAAAATAATTCACACAATGACATATTTCTAAACCAGATTATGTTGCTCACATTAAAACTTATATAACTACAGTAAAAATACATGTAAATGTAGACTATTCCATCATTCATGAATTTAATGTTTGCAAGTAAGAACCGTTTTCTCTTGGTTTAAAAGATAAAGTTTTATGAACTGATAGTCCATTTGTGGTCATGGAAATTGTTTTTAATGTTTCCAATATTAATTTCTTATCTTCCATTTTACTTAAAATTCTTTCAGTTGAACTGATATAACATTAACTCTCTCTCCAGAAAAGAAGGAAAAACAGAAAACAAACAACAAAAAACAGCTAACTAAAAACAGAAAGACAGCTAAGTTTACACTCAGTTAAAAGACCTTCTATATGTATTGCCACAGTCAATTTTATAACCAAGACGTCATATAGCTTATATGCAAACATATACTTTCTTTCTTTAAGATGATTCAGGTGACATTCTCTTTTCTAGTGTACTCTTCATTTTGATTGAAACAGATAAATGCCATTTTCTTTCAAATGTAATCTATTTGTAGGTGTATTTGTGGAGTCATTAAAATTTAGATTTGTCCATAGACAGTCAGTAGGAAAAATATTGTTAGTCAAAAACCCCACTTTATGTATAGTTATGTCACAAGTCAATTTATCAGATATATTCCACCCACGATTCACATTTTCTTGTATTGTCTCAGCTGAATTTTCCTCTAGTGACTTTTCTCAATGACTTTTATGCAACAAAGGAAATCTGGAAAGTTGGCAGTGACTGATAAATTTGTGCAATAGGGTCTAGTCTTCATTGTCTAAGAAATTTTGATCCAAATCCCAGAAAGGCTAATTTTATTTCAACAAATCATGAGAAAACTAAAAATTATTCCATCCTGATTGTAAGAAGGTAATTCTGTTTTGTATGTATTTCTGATGCTTAATTTTAGCTTTACTAAAAACATTTGGCACCTTTGGTGGACTCATAAATGAAAATAATTATATGAATATAATTTCATTAAAAAATACAGTTTACATAATTGATACTGATGTAATATATAAATCGACATTTTTAAGAGGTCAAAAGCTATGAAAAGATTTATTTTTATGGATTCCAATGCAAGCTGACACACCTTTCTTTCGCCATGTACATAATATTTATGTGCTTAAAAATATATAAACAATTAAATAGCATTTAATTGTTTCTGTTTCTTCTGTATTCTCATAACAATACTGAAAATTGTAGAAGAGTAATAATTCATTGAAAATTTTTGTTTCACCTAGCCAAAATGCTATCAATCATTCTTCCAATTTTTGTCGAAAATACTTTAATTTTCAAAGAATAATTGAGTCAAAAGGACAAGAACCTGCTTTAACTCATTTTGGGAACAAATAATTAAGTACATTGTTATGTTTCTCTCCATAAAAATATGTAAATACAGAAATACACAGGACAAATTCTAGATTCAGGAATAAGTACAAAGAAGAAATATAGAAATAAATGTAATTTAAATATATTAAATACCTATATACAAAAACTAATAGAAAATTAGCAAAATTTTATAGAGAAAATAATAAAATTGTATCAAGAAATATAAGTAAGAACAAGAAAAATTGAGAAATATACTATGTTCATAGATAAGAAGAAAAAATATTATGAAGATATCAATTCTCTCACAAATCGATGTACAGATTAAATTCAATTCTAATCAAAACTCCAAAAACTCAGTTTTTCACAGGATCTGAAAATATGATTCTAAACAAAATAATAATAGACTGATGGTTTCTGAGAAACAGTAGGTAATAGAAAACTGCTTTACCTGATTTCAAATGTTCTTATGAAGATTTTGTTATTAAGATAGTATTATATTGGTAGAGGAACAGACTAATTAATGAGGCAAGATTGAGCACTTAGTAACAGAATCACATATATCTAGAATATATTTAACAAGCACAACATGTAAGACAACAGGAAAATAAGGTACTTTTCAGTAAATGGAGAAAGGGAAAATGGTGACCAGTTGGATTAAGATCTTAAATATTTTTTAAAAACCTTGAAATTATTTGTAGAAAACATATGTGAATATCTTTTAGACCTCAGAGTAGGAAATATCTTCTTAAATAAGAAAAATGAAAACATAGAATATTAAAAAATTTGTCAATTTAACTCTATTAAAATTTGAAAGTTTGTTGTACCCATTTACTAGATAAAATGTAAAAAGTCTATTATACCAAGTGGTAGTAATGGCTTGGAGTCACAGCCTTTCTTATATATTGCTGACAGGAGAATAAAGAGGTAAAACTATTTTGGAACACAATTTTACTGGCATCATCTCTTAAAACTTAACATTCACATAATCTATGACCACTACTTCTACTCTCAAGTATATACCCAAGAGTAACTGTTTCACATACTACCTAAGACACCTACAGGTGTTTAGTATTTTTCTGTTTGTAGTGGTATCATTATCAACTGAATAAATCTTGCAACAATGCAAGTTCCCATTAACAGAAGGGTAGGTAAAAAACTATGGAATATTACAAAAAGCGCTCAAAATAAATAAACCACAAAGGCATACAACATGGTTAAATCTTAACAATATAAAATATTAAATGAACAAGTCCAACATATTACATCAGAGAAAATTCTTTTTCTTAAGCAAAAACCTACCCAAATGACAAATGGATGACTGATCAATTAATAGATAAATTCATATAGATTAACACATACTTTTATAATAAAAAGTTTATAAAAAGAGCTTGATTTTCAAGATTATGATTGCATTAGGTGAGGCAAATTAGGGAGAAGGAATCAAGTTAGGGAGAAATGAAATGATTAGAAGTCAGTCCTTTTTTGGGTACTTATCACATTATTTAAAATATCTAAATAGTTCAATTCTAATTTCAGATAATTTATGAAGATACATGATTTGCCCTCTGGCCTAGATTAGAGGATGCCTATAAATAAAATCCCACTCTGAAATTCAAAGTATCAATCATAAAACCAAGTACATCCAAAGAGTTTATTTAAACAGCTTTAAAAAATTTGAAGGAAAAGATAAAGAACTTGGTGGTTGATGATGATAGGGCCCAGAACTAAAACAGTTGTTATATAAATAAAATGTATTTCTGAATATTTCTCACCCCCCTTTTATGTTCCTTGAGTACTTTTTGATTAGAGGAGTTTTTTATCCTTATCCCAGCAGCTAATACAGTTTCTGACGCATTACATTGGCATAAAAAGTGCTGTTGAATAAATGTACAGCATCCTATCTACTATCTAATTCTCTTCTCCTCTCTACCTCTTACCAACATTACTGTGACATTGTTCTTCTCTTCTTCTTTTGTTTTTGTTTGTTTGTTTGTTTGTTTGACTCGGAGTTTCACTCTGTCACCCAGACTGGAGTGCACTGTCACACTCATGGCCACACCAGCCTCGATCTGCTGGGATCCTTCTGCCTCAGCCTTCCAAGTAGCTGGAATTACAGGCATGCACTACCATGGCTGGCTGATTTTTGTTTTTATTGTAGAGATGAGGTCTTGCCAAGTTGCCCGGTCTGGTCTTGAACCCTCAGGCTCAGACAATCCACTTGCCTCGGCCTCCCAAAGTGCTGGGATTACAGGCTGAGCCACTGAGCCCGGCCACATTGTTCTCTTCTTCTTTCCTCATTTAAATTTAATTTCAGAAAAGGATCTAATGTTTTAAAACATGTATATTTTTGTATGTCTTCAAAGACTTAAAGTATCACCCCTTCCAAAGGGCAGGACAATGCTTTTGATTCTGGGGTCAATAATGAGCCAAAATTTAAACATAATTTTAAAATTCTTATAAATTTATAAATTAAGGAGTCAAAAAGTATTAATTTTGTGAAGCTGTAGTTCATTCCAGTGCACTTTATATAATATATTCACCTATATTATTTATGAGATGAGTTTTTCGTTCTTCTAATAAATATTTTTCAATACCCTGCCATGTGCCATGAATTATTATAAGTCCTGGGAAATAAAAGATAATCCCTAGTCTTTTACCTCAAGGAAAATATCATATAATGTTGGAAATAAACACATTAACAGGTACTCATAACTATTATACTAAGTGATAAATATTACAATAAATAATGGGATATGATAGATACTCTCTCAGAGATAAGAAAAGAAGACTAATATGAAGAGGAGACTGTTGGGGAATTGGGAAGTTTTTCTCAAAAAAAAGTAATATTCTGAGTTAGATTTTAGCGATAACTTGGAGTTTCCCAATTAAAGAAGAATGATATTATAGACAGAGGGAACAGCAGGTCGTCAAAGACGAGCATAAAAGAAAAGGTATATACAGAAACAGTGAGGTATTCAGAAGGTTGGACTCTGTTTAGGGAAAGAATGCCAAGGGGCAGAACTAGTGACAGTTTGATTCAGACTATAAATGGCTTAGTGTGCCAGGCAAAATGTAGTTGAATACTTCAGGTACTTTTTAAGCAGTGGAAGGGGGTGGGGTCAAATGGAAGAGAGACATGGTCAGATTGATGTTAAGGGGTATGTATCTAGAGAGAATGTAAAGGACAGCCTGAATAGGATGAGCCACCAAGGAGCAGGAAGACTAGTCACGAGGCTCCTGCAACATTTCAGGCACAAAATGATGAGGGTTAAAGATGATGGTAATGGTGAAAGAGGAGAAGACAATTTGAGTTATAATTTTTGATGTAACATCAGCATAATTTGATCAATTTCCTATATACAGATTTTTTAAAAATGCCTTTCTCCACCTAACTTTAGTGGCATTCTTGAGAATTAGAAATCTACAGGGTTGCCCCTTCC